AAGAGCTATGGTACATAATGACAACAATTCACGTGTTTTGTACTAAGCTTAACCAACTTCGACCTTCTCCACCAACTGACGTTGGAAATCGAATTTGCACTAATCGAACAGCATTTTTCTCATCTTCCTCTTCTTTATATTCCGAAATAGTTGGTACAACTATTGTTTCCCCGTCTTCAGTTTCATTATAATTGTATACTTCTTCTACTTGTTCTGAATCTTCAACTTTGCATTCCATTACTTCATTTTCCACAAAATTCATCTAAAATTATAAAGTTTTAACTTTTTATATCAAAATATTTTAAACATATATATACATAATATGTATCTTAGTATATACCTCTCCATCAGCAAGATGATTTACTTCTTCATCTGCAACATTTTCTTCTTTTGAAATATTTAATACATCTTCTTCATTATACATTTGATCTTCATTTTGCTGTTGTATAATAACGTGATCTTTTAATTCTGTCACATATAAATCATTTTCATCTAACTAAAAAACAAAAAAAATATAGAAAAAATTAATAAATATACCATAAATATAACATAAAAAATAAAGGATAATATAAAGAATAAATATATTTTATTACTTGATCATTTTCTGCCTCATCCACTAAAAATTCCACATTACCATCAGAAATTGTTATGACTTGATCATCTTCTGTAGTGAGTCGCGGTTGATTGACCACAATAGTATCATTTAAATGACCCTAAAAATTTACATAAATATTCGTATCAAAACGAATAAAAAAAAAATGTTATTATAATATTATATCACTTCAACCTGAGTTTGCATATGAGCATATAATAAAGGTTTTCTCATAAAACCCATTCCGCATACAAGACATTCATATGGCTTTTTATCACTATGTATAAATCGATGTGCATTTCTATTATCTCGACTATTAAATGCTTTTCCACAAACCTAAAATTTCATATAAAATTTCAGATAAAAATAAAATATTAGTATAAGTTAATATTAAATAAATGATTATTAATACCTCACAAAGATAAGGTTTTTCTCCAGTATGTATACGCATATGTTTTTTGAAATGTTCAGGATATACAAATGTTGCTGTACATATATCGCATTTGTATGGTCTTTCACCAGTATGGGCTGCTTTTATATGATAGTCTAATAATCTTCGCCGTTTAAATCCTTTTCCGCAATCATCACATTTATACCTCTTATCATTATAATGTGTTGCACGTTTGTGCGATTGCAAATTTGATCGTTGACTAAAAAGTTATAAAAATATAAATTATTTTTACACTTAATATACATTTAATAAATGCATAAATAAACATGCCTAAATGTAGCTCCACAAAATTCACACTGATATGGTTTCTCTCCAGTATGTGTTCTTTCATGATCTCTAATTTCAGCTTTACGGGCAAATGCTTTACCACACACTCTACATATGTAAGGTTTGTAACCAGTGTGCACTATATTATGCACTTCCAAATTATGTGGTGATCCAAATGCTTTTCCTATAATTTTATAATTTCTATGTATATTATAAAATTGCTTCAAATATTACGAAAAAATGAATGAAAAATAAATAAAAAAAATGAATGAAAAATAAATAAATAAAACATACCGCATTGGTGACAAACATATTCTTTTACACCATTATGAGTTCTTTCATGTTGATTAAGATTTTGTTGACTTAAAAATGTTTTATTACATTGTGAACATTCATAAGGACGAGGTCGTATCTCATGTGTTTTTACATGAGCTTTATAAGTATATTTTGAAGCAAAATCTTTACCACAATTTTCACACACATATGGACGAACACCCGTATGTGTATTGATATGTTCCTCTAATAAATTTCTGGAACTATAAATATAAGAAATTATGATATAAATAAGTTAATCTATATATTATTTAAAAATTGCAATTGTTTACCTATATCGTTTACCACAAGTTTCACATGGCCAAGATTTTACTTGTGGATAATGTATTCTTTTATGAATTCTAAACAATCGCAAATTACTAAATATTCTGTTACATATTTCACATTGAAAATCTCCTTCTTCTTTAGCAACATGATCATCAAGATGAACAGATAGTTCATTTCTCTTTTTAAAATCATCACCACATATATCGCAAATGTATAAACGAGTTTCATGCACGCTTCTTACATGTGCAATAATAGATTTTGCATCTCCTACAGCTTTATCTTCTTCATTTGTACATAACAAACAGGTATATGTAGAACCATCCCTAGATACAATCTAAAAAGCAAATGAAAAATAAAGAAATATTATTGTATTAATACAAATTATTATATATTTATATTTCTATGGTAATATAAATTGGTAATATAATTACTTGTTCTTGAGAAGGTTCAACTTTTGGTGCAATTTTTGTTCGTTTTATCCTTTTTCTTTCCTCAGTATTACTTGTTTCTGGTATAGGTTCAACTTTAAGAATGATTTCCTCTGGCTCACAAGAAGGTTCTTCTTCTTCTTCCTCTAATCTTTCTTCTTCTCCTTCCATGTCTTGCATTTCTTGTTCATCCTTCACATTAAATTTTAAATTATAATAAAATTAATATATTTTAATTTTAATATTATAATTATTATTATTTATAATTATAATTATTATTATAATATATTTAGATTTTAATTAAATGAGTTTATTTTATATATTACTTTTGTTATATATTTAATTTCTCCATCTGTATCTTGAGTTTCTATGTTTTCTATGTAATCGTGATCATTATATTCTTCTTCATTTTGAATATCAGATAATTTTTTTATAGTTTTCTTATAATTATTGAATAATTCTAATTTTATTTCTGACAATCGATTTTCAAGTTCATCAATCTGCAAATGTTAATTATTTTTTAACTTTATATATAATTTCATAAAACATAATAATTCGTATTTCATTTACCTCATTAAATAATTTATAACACTTTTTACATATAACAAGAGAATGTACATTCTCTTCATTTAAATCTGTTTCTAAGACAGTACAAATAGTATCTACAAGTGGTTTTTCAGATGAAGTTAAAGAATTTTCATTAAAGATTCGTATACTATTTCTAGTAGATACACCAACTTTACTATTACATATTAAACAATGAGTGCTATCTTTTTCTGAATCAGCTGTCATCTTTTTGGCAACTGCAAATATAATTATATACGTTAAAAATATGATTTCATAATCTTAAAAATATGATAAAATAATAATAAATATATTTATAATTATATATATATATATATATATATATATTTCTTTAATTGTATCCATTTTTAATTTATATCAACATTTGTTGATATTATATTTTTAAAAATTTTAAAATTAAAATTAAAAATTAAAAAAAGGAAAATATTAAACATAATAAAGTGAATTATATTTTAAAAGTAACAATTGTGGTACTTTGTATTTCGTAGAATAATTTTTAATATTCATACAAGTAAAAATAAAATTCATTAAAATAAAATTTTTATAATGGTCTCTCCTTATGTAACAGCATATGATGTGTACTGAGAAGAAAGCAACCATTGATATTGTTGCATTGTTGAACAATAACGTATCCAACGATTCATTCTATAAGTAAAGGAATAAGAAATAATGCGATGAAGCGTCTGACAAGATTGCTTTCGTCGTTCCATACAACGAAGCATTCTGTTCTTTGCTCGCATCGATAAGTAACCGCTAAAATCCAATAACCCTAACAATAACGTGTGAGGAACAGTAAACAAAATATTTGCCTGCGTTCCTCGTCAAAATGAAGCCTTATAATAAATGTAAAAAGTTGCCAGCACTGACTTGAAATTTTCGTGTCTCCGTTCGAACGATTGGCAGCGAGCAAAACGGCAAATGGGTTTTGATGCCATTTAAGTCCTCATGACAGGTAGGGTAGATGATTGCGATGAAAATATAACGAAAAATATACTTCGAAATGGTTGCCACTTTTTAGAACGTAAACGACAATTCGATGTCGCCTTCGCGTTAGGTGGAGGAACGCGATTGCGTATGCACGCGTCGAATGCCCTCTATCGGATCATTTCTACGCGTAATTCAGCCATATTTTACAGCATTTTAGTCCCTCCAAAATGTATAAAATTTTGAAAAATCCGTTGACATTTGAACATATTGATATTAAAAAATAAACATTTTGATTAATAAAAATTGATTTTTATTTAAAATTTATTTAATCATTTTTTTTATATATTTTTTATTAAATTTAAATAGTTTAATGGAAATGTATCTTAGTTAATATAAAACACTTTTATTTTTGTTCTTTCAATTAAATTGTATAAATTAGTAACCATATTTGATGTTAATATCTATTACATGAATTTCCAGGGAATTTTATGTTAAATTTTATTATTGGTGAATTTAAATTCTCATTTTAAATAATAATAAGTGCATCTCATTATTTGAATTACAAATTATATTATAATTATAAGTTATAACTTAATATTAATATTAATAACTTAATATTAATATATAATATTAATTTAATAATTTAATCTTTTCGAATAGAAAAGAAATTATTTAATTGAATCATATTACATTTTTAATTGATAATACATCTGTTTTAAAATTCCACAGTTTTTAAATATAAAAAATAAAAAATATACATATAATTGTGTATCTATAAATTAATTAATATATAGATAAGGTTAATTTATCAAATTGTAAACAAATTGATTATATTATTATATAAATTAAAGAAAAATAATTAATATTTAAAATATTAGCTTTCCATTAGCTAAATTTATAAAATTTATATTCATAATGTATTAAAAAAATAAATATAATGTAAAAATAGCATGCAAATTGTAGATACGCCAAATACCATAGGTTATATAAATAATTGTATTTGTGAAAATTTTTGCTATAGAAGAATAATATTTTTCTTTTTATTCTATAGGAATGTTTCCATGAAACAATCACGATGTTTACTTTTTTTTTCTGTAGATAGACATTCAAAATACAATATAGTTAATGAAACACCGCCAATTTTTAAATAGTAATGCTCCATTCTATGTTAAATATAATCATAAATGGAAACTGACAATCAGTTTGTAACATCGATGCATGGAAATTGTTATTCTTTGAAGCAAAAGCGATCGATGAAAAACAGCCAACAACGTGCGCATAGTTGGAGATACTTATTTTTATCAAAAAAGTTATTGTAGTTACCTAATTTCTTTAATTTAATATTAATTTAAAACCATTCACTATTAATTTGATATTCATGATTGTGACACTTAATTATTTAATTTGCCGGTTGACAACAAATAAATCAAAAGGTGTAATTAATAACAAGTATTCAAACAGTCTTCTATGAAATGAACAAAAATGAGTCGACAAGTAGATATGGACCCCTCGTCGGTGCAATCGACGAAGGGACAAGTAGTGCTAGATTTTTGGTATTAAATTTTTAATAATTATTTATGTCATTAAGTTTAATTTATAATAATTAATAAAGAATAATTTATAATAATTAATAATGATTTAAAATGTTTAAAATTAATAAAGAAATATATTTTTAAAATATGAATGTATTTTTCTTCTATTATTATTCTACATTAAAAATTAAAAGAATTTCTTAAATTTATTTTTAATAAAATTTAGTAATTTATTAATTTTTTTGTAAAAAATATGAATAACATTATAATTTGTATAAAGTTTTTTATTTTATGTTATATTTTTATTAATAATGTACAAATTATTTTAGGTTTTTGCTGCAGATACAGCTGAAGTGTTAACATATCATCAGGTTCCAATAACACAAACATGTCCAAAAGAAGGATGGGTTGAGCAAGATCCCGTAGAAATATTAAAAGCAGTTAGAGAATGTCTTAATCAGACTATATTTAATTTACGCCAGCTTACCATAGATCCTACTGATATAGTTGCAGTTGGTATAACAAATCAAAGAGAAACTACAGTTGTATGGGATTCCATTACTGGAGAACCATTATATAATGCTATAGGTAATCATTAACACAAAATTTTTTATTTTTATTTATTTATATTTTATTTATTTTTTTTAATAATAATTACTATTAATAAAAATAAAATTTATATTCATTATTTTATAGTATGGATGGATATGAGAACTACTTCAATTGTAGATGATATATTAAAAAAAATACGTAATCAAAATAAAAACTATTTGAAACCACTTTGTGGTTTACCAATTAGTCCATATTTCAGTGGTTTAAAATTAAAATGGTTGTTAGAAAATGTACCTCGTGTACGTGAGGCTCTAGATTTAAAACGGTGCATGTTTGGCACAATTGATTCATGGTTAATTTGGGTGAGTTCAGTTCAATTACTTATTAAAATATATAATTAATATATTTTATATAATAGTTTTTTATGTAAAAGATATATTATAAAAATAAAATTTATTATCAAATAATTATATATGTATGTATATATGTTCTAGAATTTAACTGGAGGTGTTCATGCCACTGATGTTACAAATGCTTCAAGAACAATGTTAATGAATATCACAACTTTAAAATGGGATCCAACATTATTATCATTTTTTAATATACCTTCAGAAATTTTACCAGAGATTCGTAGTTCGTCAGAAATATATGGTTATATACAAGATGAAGTTTTATCTGGTGTACCAATATCAGGAGTAGGCATTTTTTTATAATTAATATATTAATCAAAATGAGATAGTAATTATCTATAAATAAATATTGATTTATATAAAGTGTTTAGGTGATCAACAGTCAGCATTAGTAGGACAAATGTGTTTACAAAAAGGACAAGCAAAAAGCACTTATGGCACAGGCTGTTTTCTTTTATATAATACTGGAACTGCTGTAAGAACTAACTTTATTATTCTTCAAAATTTCTTTATAATTTAAATATTAATAAATAATTTTAAAGATTGTAGATTCATCTCATGGATTATTGACAACAGTTGCTTATCAATTAGGACCACAAGCAGCACCAATATATGCTCTTGAAGGCTCTATAGCTATAGCTGGTGCTGTTATTCAATGGCTAAAAGATAATCTTGGAGTACTATCTGATGTAAAGGAATCTGAATCTCTTGTTGAACAAATTCCAACTGATAATCGTGTTACATTTGTACCTGCATTTGCTGGATTATATGCTCCATATTGGAGGAAAGATGCAAGAAGGTAAATTACATAATAATATAATATTATAATTATGTCATAATACAGAAATAAGAATTGTAATTAATTTTACTATCACATATTTCTTGCAAAGTATTTAATATTTCAGTGTTATATGTGGAATTACTGAAGACACAAATAGTACACATATTATAAAGGCAGCTTTGCAAGCTGTTTGTTTTCAGACAAGAGACATTTTGGAAGCTATGAAAGAAGACACAGGTTTAACATTATCTAAATTGTTAGTTGATGGTGCTATGACTACTAATAATTTGTTAATGCAAATGCAAGCAGATATTTGTGGAATTCCAGTTGGTAAGTGTATTAATTTTCATAAAAATTTATTTCTTATAATAAAAAAAAAAATCAAAATAGAGATAAAAAAATATCTAAAAATATTAATTAAACAATTTTACAAGAAAGTGAGGCCTTTAATGTGTGAAACTACTGCACTTGGAGTTGCAATTGCTGCAGGAAATGCAGATGGTATACGAAAATGGGATGTAAAACTTGATATTGCTGTACCAAGTGATATTTTCTTACCTTCAATATCTGAGAATGGTATGTTACTAATTTTTCCTAATTTTTATATTTTTTTCATTGAAAATAATCAAATTTTATTTAGAACGAGATATATTATATTCACAATGGAAAATGGCTATTGATCGTAGTTTAGGTTGGGAACCAGTTTCTAATACCAATGGTATGTTTTTTCTTTTTTTTCAATAAAAATTGATTTTGTTAAATTATCTAAAAAACATCAGATCTTTTTTTTGTAGATAATATAAAGAATATTCACAAAGCAACTGCTCCAGGTATTTTTATGATAAGTACATTACTTTTACTTATGATTGCAAAATATCATTCTATGTTATGACTGAAAGAGTACAGTACCATGTACTGTACTTATCTCAAATAATGCATTTGGGCAGGTCCTGTTTGCTAACAAGTATTTAGATTATTATTTGATATTAATATACTGATCATTAAACTTTGTAAAAATAATATTATTTATAAGTAAAGAATGAACTAAAGAACAAATATAAATAAATGTGCCATAATACTGTGATAACTTTAATGTTAAATGAAATATGAAAAATCAGAAAAAATATTGTTTTAAGATAAAATAGGAATCTATTTCAAATTTGGACATGTATGGTTTTTATCTGGAATGTTTATGTTAGACGTTTATCAATAATTTGTGCTCCAATATCAGTGGTATTATTTTTTGTTTCTTTGTTCCTTTCATTTGTTATTTTTTTTACGTTTCGTATTGTAGAAGTATCCTTTAAAATTATATAAAACATCATTAAGAATTAATATAAAATATAAGGATGAAAAATAAATATTACCATTGGGATATCGGTAGTGGATGTTTCAACTGTAACAAGAGATTCAGCAAGCCATGTATCATTTCTTATATTATCAATATTCATTCTTATTCGTTGTGGAACAAGTATTCGTGAGATAAGTGAACGACAAGCTTGAGATACATTTGGTTCTTTAGGAAATACAACTTTATTTTGTACTTGCTATATTATGAAGAAAATAATATTATAGAAAATCATAAAAATCTTATTTAAATGGCACCATTATATAAATAAAATTTTAAATTAATCTAGATTCTATTACGTTTTTTTTTTTTTTTTAATGTACCTGGGTACCTTTAGTAGTTGACTGTAATTTGTATCATCAAACGGTAGTCGACCATAAACCATTGCATAGAGAACTACGCCCATGGACCATACATCAGATAGTTGAGGTAAATATGGAACACCTTTTAATATTTCTGGTGATGCATAAGCATAACTGCCACAGAAAGTTTCACTTAATGGATTAATTCCATTTTTTGCTTTCATTTGTCCACGTGCAAATCCAAAATCAGATAACTTAATATTAAAATTCTGATCCATCAAAAGATTTTCACATTTGATGTCTCTTAAATAAAATTATGTAGTTAAATATGTGACGGCACTTAACATTTCTTATCAAATTTTTACCTATGTACTACACCACGTCCATGACAGTAATCAATAGCCTCTAATAATTGTCGAAACCATCGACGACTACGAAATTCATCGATAAATGTATCACGTCTTATTATGTCCAATAAACTACCGCATTGAGCATATTCCATAATGATATAAACGCTAAACATTAAATTATTTATTAAATATATTTTTATTATGTTTATTAAATATAATTAATGAAGATATATAATATTTGAAGATTATAAATATTAAAGTATTAAATAAATTTAATTTATTAAATTTATTAAATATAATTAATAAAAAAAATATATATTGTAATTTTTTTAAATAATAAATTGACTAACCGATGAGTTGTTTCGATCGCTTGAAGAAAACGAATTAAATTTGGGTGTTTTAAACCTTTGACAACTTCAATTTCACGGGGCAAAAATTTTTTTAAGTAATCACCAGGTGCTTGAAATTTTGAAACAATTTTTACTGCTACTTGACAATCATGTCGATCAGATTTTGCTATCTTTTATATATATAATTATAAATAATTAATATTTGATTATAAATAATGATATGTAATTATTAATATTGATTTTTAATATTAATACATATGTTATATATATAACATACTTTTACAGTAGCATATGAACCGGCACCTATTGTTTTACCAAGAGTATATCCATGTGATTCAAGAATGGTTAATTTTTTTTCTGATTTGTCATTTTTATCTTCCACGAGTTTTAATAAAGATTTTGGAGAATTATCTGTTATGGGTGCAGTTGCCATTTTATATATAAATTATTATTGTAACATTTTAAATTCAAATTCATAATGAATATACATATATATATGCATTATTATATTGTTTATGGTTGTTCATATTCTTGTGTTAATTTTAATATTTGCAACGATGTCATTGTATTTATTAAATTACATGTTTCTAATAAATTTTTTAAAGAAAATGTTGGAGTTGAAAAAATTGGAGTTTCATAACTTGTCAATTTAGAAACTATGGATTGAAATTTGGCGCGATGCTCTTCATATAGTAAAACTAAAAGATCGATCTTATGAACATTTGAAATACTATTGTTATTGATATTGTTATTACTTCATAAAAAGTATAATAAACTAATTTTAAAAATTAAATATGTATAAATATATATATATATATATATATTTATAATATAATTTTTAAAAACAGTTTTATCTTATTATTAATTTATTTCTTTTCACAATAAAAAATTATATATATTTACAAATTTTATTTTAATTATTTAGAATAAAATTATTCTTTTATATTAGATTAAATAAATAAAAATGAAATATACAATATAATTAAATTGTTTGTCGGGATATATTATAGAAGTAATCAATCAAATCATTTTTTTTCAATTATCAATTTATTAATTATATAAATATATTCAGTGTATCTAAATAATATATACTTAATGATTATATATTATATATTGTATTCAAAATCGTAAACACGCTATTTGGCATTTAGTCAAGCTTACGTTGATTCATTTGTTAGAAATACTGTGCTTACGTATTTATTAAAAGAAAACTTATAATAATTTAATTATGGCAGATGTGCTAGATATTGATAATGCAGAAGAATTTGAAGTGGATGATGAAGACGATCGTAAGTTCGATTATTTTTTAAAATAATTTTATGGTTATACATAAGCGTCATTTGTTATAACCTCTTAAAATTAGAATTAATTTGATTAAAACATATTGTCATACATACTTATTTTTAATATTTTTATTTTCATATTTTAGAAGGTATTGCACGTTTAAAAGAAAAAGCGAAAAGAAGAAAAGGTAGAGGACATGGTGCAGAATTGGTATCTACTCGTGACGATGTTGGTCATTATGAATCAATGAATGTTGTTGAGGAAGATGATGATGAACCAGGTCCACAAAGATGTAAGAAAACATTTTGTATATTTTATTTTTGAATAAATATTTTGTAATTATAATTACAAAAAAAAAATAAAATTGTATTGATACTTAACATTTTTATAAAAAAATATTTATAATTTTTAGCCGTAGAAGGTTGGATTCTATTTATAAATTCTGTGCATGAAGAAGCTCAAGAAGATGATATTCAAGATAAATTTTCAGAATTTGGTCAAATAAAGAATTTACATTTAAATTTGGATAGAAGAACAGGTTTTTTAAAAGGATACGCTCTAGTAGAATATGAAACATTTAAAGAAGCTCAAGCAGCAAAAGATGCTTTAAATGGAACAGAAATTTTAGGACAACCTATTTCAGTTGATTGGTGTTTTGTAAAAGGACCAAAGAAGTAAGATGTTTTAATTAAAAGTATATAAAAATTTCATTTAAAATATAGTAATTATTTAAATTTTATTAACAAATTAATTCTTTTATTTACAGAATTAAGAAGAGAAGTCACCGAAGACGATGAAAAAAGAATGATAATTATTAAAAAAACTTTTATTTCCTCTATGTATAATTACTTTAAATAAGGAAGATTGTTTTGTACTTCACAAATATTGTAAAAAAAAAAAAAACAAAATATTGGAAATAATATAATTTACAGAAAATTAATTTATCATTTTTTAAAAATTCTATCCATTTAAAATTAATATTATAATTAATAATATAAATTGGAAAGGATTTATAAATATTGAAGTTCAAATGATCTATGCATATATTATTCATATTTATTCAACAGTTATTTATATTTCATTAACAGTTAAGGTGTTAGTATTTCATATAAAATTTGTGAATTCAAATAAGTTTTTCTAAAATTGTAAATTGAAATTGTGAATTAAATATACTGAATTCTTTTATAAATTTTAAAACTCATATTGAGCTATTTATTTTACAAATAAGATTAATTTCTTGAAATTTAATTTTGTTTACAATTATTATAGTCTCTCTATCTTTATTTATTATAAAATGTATTTTAATAAATAAATCAAAAGCACATTAGGCATAATAGTTAAGATTAGCTTTCTTTTTTGCTTGAACTTCATTAATAGCTTCCATTAAATCTTCATGTGTAACCGCTGTTGCATTGCGTCTCAATGCTATCATTCCCTACAAAAACAAAAAAAAGATTAGAAAATATTTCTATTATTTTTATATATTAAGATATTACATACCGCTTCCACACAAACAGCTTTACATTGAGCGCCATTGAAATCATCAGTAGATCTTGATAATTCTTCAAAATTAACATCTGGAGACATATTCATTTTTCGCGAATGAATTTGCATTATACGAGCTCTAGCTTCTTCATTTGGATGCGGAAATTCTATTTTCCTATCCAAACGACCAGATCTCAATAAAGCTGGATCTAAGATATCTACTCTATTCGTAGCTGCTATTACTTTAATATCAGCGGTTGAACTAAATCCATCTAATTGATTTAATAATTCCAACATAGTACGTTGCACTTCTCTATCTCCAGCTTTTTCAGAATCAAAGCGTTTTGTTCCAATTGCATCTAATTCATCTATGAAAATAATTGCAGGTGCTTTCTCTTTTGCAAGTGAAAATGCATCTCTCACTAATTTTGCACCATCTCCAATAAACATTTGAACAAGTTGGGGTCCTGCCAATTTCAAGAAAGTAGATTTTGTCTGTGCAGCACAAGCTCTAGCTAATAAAGTTTTTCCAGTTCCTGGTGGTCCATATAATAATACACCCTTGGGAGGTTGAATACCAAGATTCTCAAATTTTTCTTTATGTGTCATAGGTAAAACTACAGCTTCTATTAATTCTTGAATTTGTTTGTCCAAACCACCAATATCTGAATATTGTTCTGTAGGTCTTTCGTCTACTTCCATAGCTTTTACTCTTGCATCATACTCAGCAGGCAAAGTTTCAAGTACAAGATAGCTATCTTTATTGACACCAACTAAATCACCTGGTTTTAAAGCTTCTGCATCAACCAATCCAATTACAGGCAGAAAGTATGTTTGACGAGTAGAAGTTTTAATAACTGCACATTTGCCTTTCCTTTGTGCATCTAAATCAACAACTGCACCATCTTCTTCCCCAATATTTTGAGGATCCACATCTAATAATTCTATAACATTTGATACTAAATATGGCAAGGTTTTATTTACTTTAATTTTTTCCGTATTCTCTTTAATTTTATCGTTTTGTGCCTGAAGTTCATGAGAAATGCGCATTACTTCACTTTTCATAATTTTGATTTCATTGTCTAATAATCGTGTACGGGAGACAATCTCATCTGTAGACATTCTCCAAACATCCTCACCTAAAGCTTCCTATAAAATATTTATAAAAATATTTTTTATTAATTATATTATTATTAAATATTATGTATCTTATTATCTCTTTAATTTCTCAAACTTCATAAATTATAAATTACAAACATATTTAGAAATAAATTTCTTGTTAACATTTGCAAGTTATAATATTTATAAATATATACAAATAAAAAATAAGTATAATCTTTTTAATTAAAACATAATAGAATTTTTAATTAAAAAATATTTTTTAATTTTAGTAAAATTTATTTTATTTTAAATAATTTGTATTAGAGATTTTATATGTAATGTATCAAACTCTAAACGATTTAGATATGCTTGTCATTCCATCCTAACCTATACTAAATAAATTTACAATTTATACCTCTCCATCTTCCCAAAGAGACTTGTCTTCAAGAGTAGCCATTTATATTAATAAATTTAATATTTTTTAAATGTTAAAACTCAAAAATCTTCCGTAAATTTGTATTTTGTATAAATCTTGGTCAATTCAGAATTTTACTTCACTTACTGAATTAGTAAGTATTTTATTTATCAAGTCTATGGTTCATTCTGCCATTTTAAGATTCATTTCTATATTTTTTTAATCTATGTCTAAAAATTAATTAATTAGCTTATAATTTTTAGGTACATAAAACTTTATATTTAAAATATAATATAGTATACAAAGATTTGTAAAATAAGAAAATAGATGATTTCATATTATTATGAAAAAAATATATTAAATATTACAATAAACATAAATAATAGATAATAAATAAGAGATATATATGTTGAAATATATTGTATTTGATTAAAATATAAAACTATCATCATATGGAATTATATATCCTATTCTAAATACTTTTTTTAATAGAGCAAGAAATCAGAAACTCCAGAAATTGTCAAATTATACAATTTTTATGTCATATAATTCGAAGATTATAATGTTATTTAAAATATTTCGAATCTAATTGAAGAATTGAATTTGCTTAAAAAATTTTGAGTATTAAAACTTTGATTATTGTGAAAATTTTAATTATTTAAAAATACTGAAAGTCTTTTGTATAATATATTGTTTTTTGTATTATATTTTGTATAATATAAAAATTTTGGCAATTAATTATGGTGATAATAAATTAATAATAAAATTTATGCAAAATAGTATAAATAGTATTTCAAAAATATTTTGATATTAATTACAAAAATATATAAAAAAAATTAAAAATTTTTTGAAATGACTTGATTGTCGTTATTTTTGTATTATAAAACATTGTCATTAAAAACAAATAATAAAAATTTCTCGAATTTTCTCGAATGATTGATTTATTTATCTAAAAAAATTTTTAAAAATGTATTTATTTTATTTGACTATTTTCTTTTGTTTGACTATTGAATTTGATTTTATCATATATTACATTACTGTTTTGTTTCAGTCTCATTTCCATTAACGTATTTATTTACTTATAATTTAATAAATAAGCTTTAAATTGTAATTTTTGTATATACTTACTTGTTATTTTTCAAAATATTTTGCAAAAATCATGAATATATTAACTTACATATTAACTTTGCATATTATGTGAATAATATTTTAATTAAATATTAATATTAATATAAATAATATAAATAATAATATTATTTATTATATAATATTTAATTAAATTATATTTGTATGTATTAGTATCACCGAATTTAGAGTAACCATAAACAATTAGTTCATTGTTATTTTGCTATGAACGAAAAAAATTTCTTCATGATCTAATTGCACATAGAAAGAATTATTAGTGATTAATAATTATTTTGAA